AAACCCGCTCCTCCTCCTCTATAAAGCCTTTGTCTGTCTCCAGTTCATTTGCATCAGCTCCCTTCTTCTGTTTTTGGACATGCTTTGATAAAGTTGATTGTTTCTCATTGGTCAGGGTTATTGTTTTATTATTAGTATTAGTATTAGTATTATTAATGTGATCAGGAGATGGGCTTCCCTTTTCATCTGTAATGCATAGCAAATGTTGTTGGGTCTCATCTAAGTGGTGGAGTATTAATTATGTTGTAGCTTGGCTATATGGCCACAATTGCTACTTCTTCTTAATGGGACTTAGGGAGGCTAAGTTCCCACCTCCAGGAGGAACGTGTAGTCAAAAAGACTAAAAACAGAAGTAATATAAATGCATGGACAGAAATCACCACATTAGAGCAGATATGTGGCTTTGGTTAACTTTTTCTGTTCCCTGTCCCCGCTGGCTTTTTCTCACTCTCCGTGCATGGGTGAGCTGCACCCAGCTGATTTTTATTGGGATCTCAAGCCAGCATAGGGAGACTTGGGGTGGAAGGAAATTATATAGCCTCTTGCCCTTCTGGGAGACGCCGCTTTCCGAGCAGGCTGGCCCTGACCCCACCCTCTAAACTCTGTAGTCACAGGAGTGACCCGAGGTCCCCGCAGGAAAGAGTTCCAAAATACTCGCTTTTCTTTTTCCTTGTTAGCGTGGTTTCTCAAAAATGTGAGTCCAGGAGAGTTTATGATAGTTTAAAAGCCGTGGGACTGGTATATGAACGTTTCCTTTGTGAGATCCCACTGCTCTCACCAGCCACTGTTCAGAAACCCTGTACAGGATTGCTGTGATTTGGAATTGTCTCAATGGTGCTTAACAACCACAACATATGCAAAGAGGAAGTTAGGGCAAATAATGATTAAGGAGAACAGGATATGATAGAGATAGAAGGGGTTAGAAAATTAATTTAAGCTAAGTTTCATTAGAAATGATGAAATGAAATTGGTTATTTATTGGGATTAGAGAGTAAGTTATTAAAGGGAAAAGAGATTGAGTGGCATGTTCTAGAACAGCAAAATCATTGACTTTTTAGTATCTTTTCCATTGATGTTGTTCAGTAAAATTGGATGCTATTGTTAGTTGCTGTTGAGTCAATTCCAACTCATGCTTACTATTCATTTCTGTTCAACAAGGCATTAGTATCTCATTGGCACCAGGGTATGGAGGTTCTTCTCCTAGTCTCCGTTCCTAGCAAGAGCAATTAGGGAATGGGTATTGATCGTGGTACGCATATATCCAGTCACTAGGAAGTGGTTCTCATATATCCAGCATCACTAGATTTCACCCAAACAGGCTTCGTAAGGATTTTACCTATCTAACGTCTCCAAATTACAGTTGTGTCTATTGTTCCCAAGTGCCGTTGAGTCATTCCAACTCATAACAACCCTATGGGGTTTCCAAAGAGCAGCTGGCGGGTTTGAACACTGACCTGTGGTTAGCAGTACAGTGCTTATTTGACAGCACCACATTAGGACTCTAATCCTCCCTAAATGTTCAATGGGAAAATCATGAAGAAATGAAAATACTTAAGTTTATGATTTATCAGCAAAGAAAAATGGGGATTCTTTCATTTTTCTTGTATCTATTTCAGTTACTATTATATTTCCATGATAGAATATGCAGTCTTTATTCATTATTCTAAGTTTTATTTGTTGTTGTAGTTAAGTGCCATGGAGTCAGTTCTGAATCATAAACACCCTATATAGGGTTTCCAAGGAGCAGTTGGTGCGCTTGAATGGCCACCTTGTGGTTCAAACTGACCTTGCAGTCCAGTGCTTTATCCTACAGTGCTACACCAGGACTTCACTAGGTTTTATAGTAATCACTGATTAAACTTTTAGATTAAAATGTTTCTTTTACAGTACTAGAAAAATTAACAGAAATAACATATACTCATTTACAAGGAACTCTGGTAGCATAGTGGAAGGAGCTCTGGTAGCGTAGTGGTTACAAATCAGGCTGTGACCTTAAGGTCAGCAGTTTGAAACTACAAGCTGTTCCATGGGAGAAAGATGAAGCTTTCTGCTCCCTTAAAGATTTAAAGCCTCGGAAACCCTGCACAGGGTCGCTATGAGTCGGTTCTGACTCCACAGCACATAACCACCGATTACTTCATTTTTAATTATATATTTTGATTACAAAATAAATGCTCATTAAATGGAATTAAAATGGAATAGTGGTTTGGGCTAGTTTTTACATACTTCCCAAACCTGGGAAACCAAGAAGCTATATGAATGTCTTTGTATTTCTACTTTTGTTATTGGCATAGAGAATCATTCATCTACAATACAATAATATTCAGTGTACTGACAATAATATTTATTTGCACAGGTGGTTGAAGTTCGAAGAGGATGTGGAAGATGGAGGAGAAAGGTGGAGTAAGCCTTATGTAGCAACCCTTTCATTGCATAGCTTGTTTGAATTGAGAAGTTGTATTCTGAATGGAACTGTGCTGCTGGATATGCATGGCAACACTTTAGAAGAAATTGCAGGTATACCTCTTTCCTCCCAGTCTCATTTACTCTTCTTGGTACGCTGATTTTCGTTCCTCTCCTTTTTTTTTTTTTTAATCATTCTATACATGTGTGAACTTCCGAACCTTAATCCTCATCATCACTGCCCTGTATTGCTATTAGTTGCTGTCAACTTAGCTCTGACTAATTAAAGTAACACCAACAAGAAAAATTACCTGATCCTGCAACATCTTCATGATCGTTGGTGTGTTTGATCTCATTGTTGTACCTATGATATCACTTAATCTTATGGAGGGTTTCCTTCATTTTTGCTGACCGTGTACTTTACCAAACAGGATGATCTATGGGTTTAAAAAATCAGTTGCGTAGCCCCTAATTTTAGATCAAGGGAAACTGAATCTCAGAAATACAGCCTAGCAGGTTAATGGCATGTCCATAAATTTGTAGCTATCCTTTCATTCAGTATTTATTGGTTTTCACTGTGATAATTAGACTGCTGCCATTAGAAATGTAAAGGAAAAAAAGAAACACTTAAATCTAGAGATTGAGTTTTCAGTACTGGAACATGAAATAACCAAATGAAAAAATTTCATTCAATGAAAAAAATGTTGTTTTAAATGAACATAGGATGGGATGAACATTTAAAAAACAAACAAAATGGAATTGAAACTCCTGAATTCCAGAGGAAATCAAGTGATAGAGACTTTATTAATTAATACCATGGAATTAATTATTTGGATTGGAATTCTATTATTACTATGTAACACAAGCAATTATATTTACCAAGTTCCAAGAACTGTGGGATGTTGCCAATGCCAAGAAATAGACTGAGAGAACTCCTGTATCTTTTGCTCTATATGACAAAACATTTTTGCAAAAATAAAGTAGTAAAAATAAAATAAATATACTGGAATAAGTTTTGAAAGAGCATACATAAAATCATTAATGGAGGATCTAAAGATAACAACAAAAGGACTCAGGCATGTTTTTAAAGTTTTAATTTAGAAAATGATAAAAGCAATTTACACAAGAACACCCAAACTTGCAGATAGTACCCATTTGACCTAGCCTCGATGGCTTGATAATCAGAACTTGACTAGAGGAAGATTACAAAAAAGAACAAAATAATTTTTCATAAAGGAAACAAGGGTAAATTGCTACAGTTTGATGAACTTGACCTGTACTCATGGAGGTAGTAGCTTTAAATACCAACAGAGAGGGAAGGAGTCTTCACATCAAGTATCAATGCTATCCCCTCTGTATACAGAATAAATAGGGACAGGCAGCTTAGACATTGGCTACCTAAAATGAGGGGGTGATAAAGGCTCCAAGTGACTGGCTTACAAGGTTTCAAGAGGGAGTTTAGTTTAAGAGTGTGTGTGGGGGGAAAAGAGTCCCCACTGAATAGTTTTCATCTTGTCTAGATGGGTCTGCTAAAAAGAGATGGAGATGAGATTCTTTTGATTTAATAGTTAAGTAATTGTTATCATGACTAATTGCGACCGTCACAATTGTAAAGGTAGAAGTTTTGTAACAAAAACGGGGAAGCAGTTAATCTTACAGTCTAAAAACAAAGGACCGGAGGACTATCAGGGAGAAGAGCACAAGCGGATTGTCGGATTGTGAGACCCTATCCAGAGAAGCAGCAACACCAGAGATGAAGGCAGAGATGGGGACATGGAGACAGGGAGAAGTTGAGGACTGTAGATTCATGGGAAGAGAGAGACTAAGAGCTGGTGGCCAGGAGACAGATGTGCAGAGTGTGCCCTTTGGTAGTTTAAATTATTATATATGTCTGTTGTTGTTGTTAGGTGTTATTGAGTCGGACCCACTCATAGTGTTTAAAAAAACAACAAAAAACAAACAGCTAAAGTGAATAGAGAGAAATACTGTTAACTGATGGTACATGGAGGAGATTATAATAAAAACCTTAAATAAGTAAATAAAAGCTTTAAAAAGAGCAACTTATATGGAATTTATTGGAGAGGATACAAGGACTTAAGAGAGACTTCAATAGCTTAATTATATAGTAACGATAGAAAAAATAGACCAACCAACCAAAAACCCCTATGTGTTATGTTTTAAGGTTCTGCCAGTGGGGGAGTTTGTAGCTTTGATTTTACAAAGGAGATTTTAAAGATTCAGAAAAGATAGGATAGCATATAATAGAACACTATTAGAAAAGCAATGTATATAATTATGTTTAGAACAGGTCCTGCAAAGTAGATGGTATTCCCATTTTTCAATGAGAAAATGGAAACTAAAAATGCCGGACCCAGATTTCTTAGAATCACTTATTGTAAGCCCAGTACTACTTCTATCATCCTGCCACTGCTATCTGAAGAAAAAAATATGGGTTGAAGTAGATGTCACCCAAATTTTAATGGTAGTTTGATCACTTTATAACACATTTATTTTGTTAATTGTGGTGGTAGGTGGGCATACATTGCAATATGTCTGACAAGAAAAGCAAGTAGAAAAAAATAGTCTAGCACACAGCATTAAATAAAAAGGAGAGAGGAAAGATAACTCTTTCTCCCCTGAGTTTCATGTGATTCTTTTAACGAGGTTACCCTTTAAAACACACAACTAGAGTTTAAAAGATTGTATAGTAACAGTATAATTTTTGGAAGAACAGAGTACAGTAATAGTTCACACTATCTGCTGCAGAAGACCTTTTTAAAGTATTGAAGAACAAAGATGTCAGCTTGAGGACTAAGGTGCACCTAACCAAAGCCATGGTATTTTCAATAACCTCATATGCATATTAAAGCTGGACAGTGAATAAGGAAAACCGTAGAGGAATTGATGCATTTTAGTTATGGTGTTGGAGGAGAATTTTAAAAGTGTCATGGGCTGCCAAAAGAACCAACAGATCTGTGTTGGAAGAAGTGCATCCAGAGTGCTCCTTAGAGGCCAAGATGGCCAAACTTCGTCTCTCATACCTCGGACATATTGTCAAGAGGGAACAGTCACTGAAGAAGGATATTGTGTTTGGTAAGGTGGAGAGTCAGAGAAAAAGAGGAAGACCCCCAGCAAGATGGATTGGCAATATGGCAGCATCAATGGGCTCAAGTGTAGCAACAATTGTGAGTTTGGCCCAGGAGTGGGCAGTGTTTCGTTCTGTTGTACATAGTAGGGTCTCTATGAGTCAGTTCCCACTCGATGGCACCTAATGGCAACAACAAAACTAAGACTTAGAGAATGTGGCTAAATTACACATTGACAAACCTCATGAGAATGCTGGAATACTAGGTATCCTGCTCAATTTCTTAGCTTTACATATAGAATTTTGCTAATAATTAATAAACACTTTTGTATTCTGAGTAGTAATGAAGTAGTTGGGCTTTTCATAGCATTTTGGAGTTTAGGAAGCTCTTTTTGATACAATAAACTTGAGATTTGGTATTATAATTGTTATCCCTACTTCATAGATAAAGAAACTGATGATCTGAAAGCTAAATGTCTTGTCCAAAATAAGGAATTTTTTCCTTGCTGCTTAAATCAGTGATGACATTATCTTTGAAAACATTAATCCCAAAGAGTTTTAAATTGACTATATATAATGATACTGTCAAATTTCTCAACTTGGCAGAATTAGCCTCAGGAAATAGTTTTTATAGTTTGGCCAAGCTCTTAACTTTCTCATATCATATATTTTCTAATGCTTCTATGAAGAAGTTGTTCCTACCAGGAAATTGCCCCTCAGTAATTTGACTAACACACTTGTTTATTTTATCACCTTAGCTAAATTTTATTATCTAAAATTATGCTTTCTTTTCCTACTTTAGTCCTGCTTTCCTAAACTCAGTCTTGTAGAATATATGAAGGCTGTTAGCTGTGCTAAACCAAAAAAATGCTCATGGAAATTACATCTCAAAGTCTATCATTACAAATGAAAGCTGTTCAGTAGAAGTTTTTATAACCCAAATAGCTATTAGAATTATTTTCTGCTTTTCTGATTAGTCTCTATATCCTTTTGATTCTGAAATAGCCCAACTTGAATGTCTCATTTTTGGTGTGGTGCTATCTCTAAAATGCCATTCAGAATATACCAGCAGTTTAGAACTAAGACTACATGGCAAAACATGATTACAAATATTTGTGTTGGTAATTATTACTTATTAGATTCATTTTTCATCATTAATGAGAAAAAAATTTCTTATTGAATCGTTGTAATTTGACTTACTTAATCCCAACATATTAATTTCTATTCTCAATGAAAGCTCATCAAAACTTTTTCTATTTGTTGTTAGGCGCCATCGAGTCACTTCTGACTCATAGACCCTAGGCAGAATAGGACAAAACCCCACCTGGTCCTGTGGCATCTTCACAATTGTTGCTATGTTTGAGCCCATTGTTTTTGCCACTGTGTCAATTATCTCTCTGGGGTCTTCCTCTTTTTCACTGAACCTCCATTTTACCAAGCATGATGATCTTTTGTACAGTCCCTATTGATGACATGTGCAAAGTATGAGCAGTGAAATCTCACCATCCTGGCTTCTAAGAAATATTCTGGGTGGACTTCATTAAAGATAGGTTTGCTTCTTCTGGCAGTCCATGATACTTTTAATACTCTCCTACAACACCATCATTCAACTGCATCTATTCGTCTAGGTCTTCCTCATTCATTGTCCAACTTTCACATGAGTATGAAGCTATTGAAAATATTATGGTTTGGGTCAAGTGCACCTTACATTAGTCCTCAAACATATCTTTGCCCTTTAACACTTTAAAGAGGTTTTATTATTTTCTTATTTTTCACTTTATGGCAATTTAACAGTGTTATTAAATGTGTAATAATTAGGTGTGCTTTGCATTTTTTTACTTTGAATAGTATTTTCATATCCACTGTTGTTGTTGTTGTTTACGTGCCATGGAGTCAGTTCCAACACACAGGGACCCTGTATAAGGTTTCCAATGAGGGACTGGTGAGTTTGAACCACTGGCTTAGTGGTTCAAACCAACCTTGCATCCAGTGGTTTAATCCCATCTTCCCATTTTATAAAGGAGAAAAA